CCTTCATGTCCCTTCTTCCCCCCCCCCCCCACCCAGAATGGCATTTCCAGGGTCTTACTTACCACAGAATTCTGAGGTTGCAAGCAGGACTCCTTAGTCCCTTACACAGTTGCCTCACACCATGGTCTCTCAGGTCATTCAGCTGCAGGTCTAGCTCAGTCAGGCTGGAGCTACATGGGAGTACTGAGGCCAGGTTCTTACAGAAGCTGGGTTTGAGGCCACAGTTGACAAGCCTGCATGGAGATGCTCACCATCAGATTCTCCAGGGATCACTGCTCTTGGGAACTGTGCTTGGTCTCCTTTTGTGAGCCCTGGCATGCAGTGTTAGCAGTGCTTAGCTTTTCTAGTCTGGGTGGATAATTCCATGCTTCCCACAGCTGAGCTGCAGAAGCATGGAGCACAGGTTGAGACCCACTTCTCTGCTTCATGAGACCCAGGACAGCTCACCAGTATATCTCAAGAGTCAGTTGAAGTGACATTCACCAGCCATAGAATAAGGACATGACATACTTGTTATTCAAAATCCTAGTAAAGATGGAGTCCATAGAAACAGAGCAGAAGGCTGGTTACAAGTGCAAGAGAGCAGGAGGAAGTGGGGATGCCATTCCCTGGCCTGGAGTTTTCTTCCCTTGGCTTCATTTAGCTTCTTCCTCTGTGCTCTTCAGTTCTCCTGCAGCCACTTCTTCAGGATGTTTGCTCCACTGAAGCCCTCACAGGCCTGCTGTTAGCAATAGTTAGTGGGACTCCCTGATGAATATTAGTATTTCATGATCTCTAAGAATAGAATCCATTTTTCGTTTCTTTATCATAACATTCTGGCCTCTATTACAGGTTGATTAGAGGCTTTGGTGAATATGTGTTGAATATAAAACCTCAGCCTAGACCCAGCTTTTGCCTCTGTTCTCCTGTCATCTGACTCTGCTTCAGGAAAGAACCCAAATCGAACTCACCTCAATGTCCTTAGTTGACATCCAGGGCATCTCAGTGTCCTACAGAGACTCCGCACTGCATAGTAGCTTGGTGGATTTCCACTTAGGTCCAGGTCCTGCAGACTTCCTGAGAACTCAAGAGTGGAGAAGAATATCTGCCAAGTGGAATTAGTGATCGGAGTCCACCTGGACCTAAGAGAGAGAGAGAGAGAGAGAGAGAGAGAGAGAGAGAGAGAGAGAGAGAGAGAGAGAGATATTTGGTAGAGGAGGCAATGAGAGACATGATTCATGTGTGTGCATGGTCTGACTTGCACAAACGCACAAGATAGAGTAGGTTTCTATCTGTTTGAGAACCAGGTCTCCTTATGCCATCCCAGGATTTACCAGCTTCTATGTGCTCCTTTGCTCCAAGATCTGGATCCTTTCCTGAGTGGTTTCTCATCTACATCCTTATTATAGCATTCTGTGTGCCCATTTGTGTGTCTAAGTGTGTTGGTGCCCTTGTCAAAGGAACAGCACATGATAATAGTTAAGGTGCCAACTTATGAGAAAGACATTCTTTAATGGGAAATCTCATTAAGTGCTGGGAGCTGATTTGAGTGGCTGCCATTACAAGATGGCATTTGGCCTCAGCCTCGCTTGATACCATAATAAAGGTTGCAGTTCTTCCACTAGAAAACAGGATGAGTTGTTGTGATCTAGCTGCCCACACTTCCCCTGACCGGCAGGGGAACTTCCTTGTGGTCTGTAATTGACAGGGATGTTCCCCTGCTTTCTTTCCTGCCGGTGGGTCTCCAGAAAAGCAGTTAAAGTATCAAAGTATCAAAGGTTGCTAGGCAGACTCCCTATATAAACAGCTACAGCTCAGAGCTCGGGGGCCCCTTGCTTTCTGCTCTCCCTATAACCAAGAGGCTCCAATAAAGCGTGATTTGGGAAGAATCCTCGTCTGGTAGCTGTTCCTTCCTGCTGGTCAGGGAGTTCGCCGCAATTAAGCCAACTCACAAAGCTAGAGACTCCAGAATATCTTTTGCCTCTGTCTGTAAATTCACATATGCTATTGTAAATTTCCCTGCACCACAGTGTTTATCTCATGAATAAATTCTGACTTACTGGGCATTTACATCTCTGGATTTTCATGAAGAATACTCCTCCTTAAGCTGTATTGTCTAATTGATATCAATACTGTTAGCTTATACAGAGTTCTAATGAATAAAATGCATATAAAAACGATAAACAGTCAATGCCTATAAAAATAGCTGATTCCCCCCCTCCCCACTATCAGACCAGCTGGGCAATAGCTTCAAAGAAGCTTTACATTAAATCAGGTGCTTTGCTAATGGTTTTTAAGATAAACATTTCCCAGAAAGGCATTGTTTTCTGTCCAAGGACATATAGCCAGCTTTCTGATTTGTCGAACTAAGGTTAAAAGTGCAGAGCAACCTAAGTGCTGCATGCATTATCTTTTGCTAGATCTGACTGGTAATCTAGGACAGTAATTAACTCTCTTCACAAGTTCCAAACCTCCATTTTCTTATATGGGCATGTATCCTGAAGACTCAAAGTTCAGCAAACTAACTGGTTCTTATATACAGAAAATAATTTGACTTCATAGTCCCAAGAAAGAGTTACAAGTTTCCATTTTCTTGGTTTAATGCCACACACAGTACAGAAAATATATTTTAAGATTTAAAATGAATGTAGATCACTATTACCTTGTTGAATGCCAATTGAGCTAATATTAACAGATTTATGGTAAAATGAGTCCAAACAAAACTTTATAAGTGACTCAAAGAATGCGGAGAAACACTGGACGGCCTGAGTCATATATAATCCAGAATTTACAAATACTTATTTCAGAGTATCAGTGCAAAATGATTACTTAGTCATGCATCAGTGTAAATTGCCTTTTTCCTTCCTTGGAGAATACAGGGCAAGAGGTCAAAGCAGTTAATACAGACAGATATGTTCCAAGTACACAATTTTGTTGATTTTTGGGACTCTCCAGCAATTTAGAATTATGACTCCTTTAAAATCCCTCATAAGATTACCTCTCAAGACAGGTAATTATGTGACTGATCCTTTCCTTGCAGCTGCAAGTTACAGCCCATCAATTGGGGGGTTAACTGAGCAAAAGTGCTCCTTCCCTGCTCTGGAGTCAGGGAGACATCAGAAGTCACCAGAGAAGCAAGATGTGAGGTAACAAGCCACAAGCCTTATTGTGAAATATAGAATGATAGAAATGGTTTAATTTAGGCAGTAAGACCTAGTTAATAGTAAGCCTGAGCTAATAGACCAAACAGTTTGTAGTTAATATTAAGCCTCAGACAGAGTGGTTATTATGGAACTGGTGTGCAGGAGATAAACTTCAAGTTGTAGGCATTTAATTGTAAAGAAAAAAAGATAAAATATCATGAGAGGAGCTTCTTTAGAAAAACATCATAAGAGAATATAGAAAGAAAACCATCAGGAAAGTGTATGAGTTTCTCTTTTTTCCAAACCCTTCAGATAGAAAAGACTTTGCACACTGACTCCTGAATTTTTTCCAATACCTGGGGAAGTCGAGGAGTTGATTCTTCTCTAGACTGCTCCATGATGTTTGAACAGGTGGTTAGTATCTTTTCATTTAATCTAGAGTACTTGAGGAGAACTTTTTAATACAGACAGCCTCTTCCTTTTGATGTGAATATACCTGCTTTTATTGGGAGCAGAATTCTAGAGTCACATGAAGAAAAACTGGAAAGGGGGTGGGAAGAGAGCTCAGGAGAGGTGGTTGAGAATGACTCTGTGGTGGGAGGTTAAGCATGGTCATAAACTCTACAGATGTGCTGGTTCACATGCCCCCATATCTTTCCAAAAGGAAGGGGATGAGGAGATAGAGAGAGATCAACAGATAGATAAATAGAGACAGAGAGAGAGAGAGAGACATAAACAGAAAGAGAGACAGAAGGGGAGAGAATATATATCACCCTGAATGGTAAGGCATTCCTTTAATGTCAGTAACCAATCATACAAAGGCAGGAGAACCATGAATTTTGAACCAGCCTACATTACAAACTGCAAGGGGCTATGAGTAGCTAAGGATCTGGTATGTGTAGCATTTCATCACTAACAATGTAAACTAAATGAGGTAACAAACTCAAAATAAAACCACAAGTCTTAAAACACAGATTAAAGATGGCTAACTTTGACTGAAACAAAATCTCATAGGGAGTGGCACTATTAAAAGATGTGGCTTTGTTTGAGTGTGTGCTACATTGTTGGAGGAAGTGTGTCACTGTGGGGACAGGCTTTGAGGTCTCCTTGGCTCAGGATACCCCCAAAGGTGTCTGTTGACTTGCTGTGGCCAACATATAAAGATATAGCCAGCACTAGATCTGCCTAGACACCCCATCCCTACCATGATGATAATAGATTGTTTTCTGAAACTGTTAGCAAGCCTTCTGTATTAAATGTTTTCCTTATTAGTGTGGGCATAATCTGGATGTAAGCCCAAACTACTATAACCAACAAAGCTTTTAATCACCATCAGTGGAGAAAACAAGGTATTCCATGACAAAACCAGATTTAAACAATACCTATCCACAAATCCAGTCTAACATAAAGTACTAGAAGAAAAACCCAAATGCAAAGAAACTGCACCCACAAGAACACAGGCAACAGATCACTCCACCAGCAAAACCCAAAGAAGGGAAACAAACAAACACTACCAACTAAAAATTAACAGGAATCGAAATTACTGGTCATTAATATCTCTTAATATCAACAGACTCAATTCACCCATAAAAAAGACACAGGCTAAGAGAGTGGATACAAAAGCAGAATCCATCCTTCTGCTGTATACAAGAAACACACTTCAACCTCAAAGACAGACATTACCTCAGAGTAAAGAGTTGGGAAAAGATATTCTAATCAAATGGACCTAAGAAACAAGCAGGTATGGCTATTCTAATATCTAACAAAATTGATTTCAAACTAAAATCAATCAAAAGAGATGGAGAAGGACACTTTATACTCATAACAGGAACAATTCATCAGGATGAAGTCTTAATCCTGAACTTTAATTCCCCAAATAGAAGAGCACCTACACAGGTAAAAGAAACATTACTATTGGCTTTGTGGGAGCCTAGGCAGTTTGGATGCTCACCTTACTAGACCTGGATGGAGGTGGGTGGTCCTTGGACTTCCCACAGGGCAGGGAACCC